CTGCTTCTTTCTGAAGCATTTTGATGTCTCAAGATTAAGAGATATTGTTCAAATTAGTATTGCCTCATAGAAACCAAATCTGAAATTACTCTCTGACTGTTACCATTATAATATCCAGTTCTAAATTATTTATAACTTACTCAAAATTCTCCCCATATGACAAATGTAAGTGTGAACAGTAGCTTTTAAGGAGAAGTCTGAATCAAATCTGTTCAGTAGTTTGAGCAGGCCAAAGAGAAGAATATCATCATACCTTTAGAAATAAACGTTGTTAAATTATTTCCATGCCCAAGAAGCTCAAATTAACACAGGACCAAGTATCTCTTTTCGGTTCCTGAAACACTTACTCTTGCCACTGCTTTTTCTCAGCAAGGTATCTTCAGACTTCAGTTTCTTTTTTGACTCTTTGCTCCTACTTCTCCTGTATTTTATTTTTTTTTTTAAATATTATCCATTTGACACTATTGGGTTTCCCCATCCCTTGTATATTTTGCCACAGAGTCTGGGAATGTCAGTTAAGTGGGACACTATAGCAGAATGGACTGGGTTGTGAAGTACAAAACAAGAAATATTTCTTTCTGCCCCTTCTAATTGTCAGTATTCAGCAAGACAGACAGTTTGCCAGTCTTGGCTGGCAGCTGTATGAAAGCGTTCACAACCTAACTTTATATTTGTGAGGCATTTAAGGCAGAATTCAAAAAGTCTATAACAGCTCTTGTAAATGTTTATATAAGAAACCTCTGAAATTTGCAGAATAACATGAAAAGGTATGAAAATACTTGTCTGAAAAAGAGAATCTTGCTGTCATTGACTGAGCAGAGTTGGAATGTGATTTCTTGTACTGTAATTTGTCAAGGGTGCTGAAAATGAAGATACGCAGACTCTGTTCGGGCAAAGAAGAGGGAACCAGTGGAAGGATTGGAGAGGCAGAGAGACTTAATAGCGAGGAGCTTTAAAGGAGGATTCTGATCGGATTTGAGTAGAGCAAGAGGAAGTTTGTCATGACTAATGAAAGGATACAGCAGTGAGGAAAGCCCAACTGAGGTTACGTACAGTCCACACGCACAGTTACAATTTTATGCAAAAAGACTGCTGTATTTAAACCTAATCTGCACGTATGGAACTTTGAGAGGTTACAGCAGGAAGCTGGCATTGCCCCCCACTGACCAAGAAAGAGATTGATGAAGAATAATCCCTGTCTGCTGGATACATGTGAGCAGATGCTGAAGAGAGACAGATGCTTTTAGATGAAAGGTCATAAGGTTGCCTGCAGAGAAATAAGAGTTGAAGTCAAGTACTTACATCCACAATTGCAGAATTAAGACAGGGAGAGATGAACAGAATATTGGTCGTAGTTCTATTGGCAAATATTGGCACCCCCCCAATATGGCAGAGCATGTAAACAAGCTCATACTATAGGAGACTGAAATAAGATGGGGTCTGCAGGCATGCGGAGAGGTCAAATTAGGAGAGTGTGCGGGCACATGTAATGTATGTAATGTTACTAGGTATTTTCCTCTGCTCTTACCACCCTTATCTCTTCCTGCTGTTGTGTCACTTCCCTCAGGGAGGAAGAAGAATCCACCCCCACCATTGATAACTTCATTTTTATTTGTTTTCCCTCTCTTCACTTCCCAACTCTCTTATTGACCATGATTATAATAACCTCTAATGCTGTATCTATTGCCTTCTTCTGTTGGCAGCTTTTCTTTGTTTCACTTTTTTTTTTTTTTTTTTAATTTTTATTATGGTGCTATGAATGTGATCCTACTTGCAGTTCTTGGTAGGAAGGCCATTAGACTGAATGTTTTTGTAGGTATTATGTAAAACTTGTAGGTTGTGAGATACAGGGTTTGAGTTAACATTGTTGGATGGATGAAGGATGTTCCTGGTTGTGCGCAATGCCCCCTGCATCCCCCTCATCTTTCCACATGTAGCACAGAACCTGGTTGGGACCTCTCATTGCTGTGGATTGTGAAAGTTTCTTATATCAATGAAGATTTCAAGACTAACAGTCCTAACACAAACCAAACAATCTGTACACTAAAGTTCTTGTGAATGGAGAAATAGACTTTATAGCATCATACAAAGTGAGTGTGGGTTGAACTTTCAGCACCTGGGTTCATGATTAACTTGCGGGTTTGACTGAATATTGAGAAAATAAGAAGATGTAACTTGACAGAGAGAAACTAGAAAGGACATTGAGTATTGCAGTAGTTGACCTGTATTTGTGTGTGATTTTCAAGTGGTTGCTCTCCTGATCCGCTCTGCATTCCCAGATTCTTCAGATCTACCTGACTGTGGTCAGCATGTCAAGGAAGAGAACAGGAACAGATTAAGTATTTACTGGCACTTTCTCTGTCTCCCTGTGCCTCGGAATGGGTATTACAGAACTGGAGAAGGTTTGGAAGTGGTTGACAAAGAACAGCCAAGTAGACTAGGATTCCTCAGCGTCGAAATGATACGTCTGAAGGGATATGATAGAAGTCTACAGAATCACATGTGCAACAGGGAAAAAAAGAATATGAAATAGATGTTTGGTCTGTTCCACTGCAAAAACTGGAGATATCAAAGGAAGATAGCAGGTCCGGAGCGAACAAAAGCTGATGGTTTCTCATGTGAAGTGCCACTAAACTGAAGAAGTTGTTGCACAAGTAGTTGTGAATGTTGAGAGTTTATACTAGTTCAGAAAACAGCTGGAGAAACCAATGGAAGAGAGAGCCATTAAGAAATCTTAAACAGAAAGGCTCTGACTCAAGGAATTCCTGAGCCACAAGCCGTGTCTCGGGAGCCACTAGAAGGCTGGAGAGCTTGTTGGGAAAGTACTGGTATGTGCTCCCTAGATGCCTGCTGCTGACCATTGTCTGTCACAGCATATTGGGCTAACGGAGCTTTGATCAGATCCAGTGTTACTGTCTTTATTCCTCACTAAAGTTTTTAAGGTGTAGCAAATGTACATATATGTAAAATCCAGTTAGTCATCTTCCACGTGTTTATGAAGACTGCATATGAAGCTGGTGAGGTAGCACAAGTTAGGGCATCAAAAATTCATCAAACTAAGATTTGTACTTTTGTAACCTTGAATTGTTTGAGCATCTTTATACCATAGAGCCAGTTGTTCATTTAATAATAAATGTTCACCGGCCTGTGATGGGAGTAGTTATCACATTAATAAACATTTCATTGAGCTGACAGCTATATGCCATAGTTTTACATGGACTTTCAGAGAAATTGAGAGGGAATAATCAGAGGTTTTCTTCTTGTAGCTTGGCCTTAGGAATACATTTGTGTGTTCGGGTACCATAGCTTGCAAATGACTGTCACAATGTATATTAGCTAAAACTACTTGCTCTCTGCCACTGTTTCTTGATTAAATGGAAAGCATATGACTCAGACCTATTGGACTGTCACATAGTTGGTTAAGATGTGCTCTAATAAATGCAGTATGAATGATGAAGCATAATAAATGTTAATGGTGAAGAATTCTATGTTAGAAGTTGCTGCTTGGATATGAATTATAGGTACTATAATACATATAGGTACTATAAAGCACACAACTAGTGATCTGTAGTATTGCTTTGAAAGAGAAACTGTAGTTTTTTCTTTGATTTTTCATATCTGAAAATCAAGCTTAAGAGGTAAATCTAAATTTATCTCATTATTCTGATATTCCAACATGTAAAGATTTCTTTGTTTGATGGAGTGGTGGGGGAAAAAAACCCCAAGCAGTACAGGAATGATAAAATATGTCAGATAAACTTTAAGATCTGTTTGTATAGCTTCCTGTGTCTGAACCTTTCCTGTGCTGATTTTGTCTATTGACTGTTAATGGAAAATGCAGTTCAGAAATACAACTTTACATGTGATGTTTGTGAAAGGCTGTGGATTAATGTGCTTTGAAATGAAGCCATCTAGGCAGGGATCAACAGTAACTTTATTTGAAGGTCTGATATGTCTGCTAGGCTCTGGACCAGAGGTTGAGAACTGGCTACAGATCTGATAGAATTCTGTATTTAATATGTAGGCTCCAAAGGTCACGTATTTTGAGCTATCAGAGAGAAATATCTTGAGTTTAAAATATATATATATGTCCTGCTGTTTTGGTTAGAGCCATAATTTACCTGCTGAAAGCACCGATGGGCACAGTGTTTAATCAATGTCTTCTGATCTTCAGTAGCTGAAACTATACGCAGCTTCATAGATGCTCGGACTTTGTTAGTGAACTTGTCTGGATTTTTTCAGTATTTAAAATCTTCCCCAGATCAGTATGCATTTTAGTGTTCACTGTTAGTCTATATCTGGAGAATACAATAGAGGTAAACTAGTCATCAAATGTCAACTAAGCAGGATTGTTTTAAGGCTTTGTAGTATATTAAGTTTCTGCCATCCTATATGAGACAAACTATGCTGTCAGTTGAAACAGTGTTTGTTTGTTTGTTTTTTCTTTGTGACTGCCTTTTTTTACTAACTACTTCTGTAAAGCTGCTGTTAGATAGTAATAGTATTTTAGGGCCTGACTAATACACTGTGGTTTAAGGAACTGTAGGTGGCATTGAGTAGAGCAGCCGTAAGACTACTTTAATCTGAAAGTAAGAAACAGCTCATAGAATCCAAAAACTCTGTAGAAGAAACGAAAGTGAACTTCATGTTGTGTTAAAGAAACTTACTGTAAATAGAGTCCATCTATAAACTATTATAACCTCTTTAACACTTCCTTAAAGTGACCTACTTTTCTCTTAAAATCTTCCTAATTCAACTGGTAACTGGTAAAGTTATGTATTCCGACAGTATAATCCTCAAATCTTTGTGTAGACAATGCTGACATGTCTCATTTTGAGCCCATTTAAGACCTGTTAACGTTTTTCAGACTAGAGTAACCTATTAAATAAATACATCAGGAAAAAGCTTTTACTGGTAATCATTGTTTTGCCTAGGTGACTATGGCTGTAATGTATTGTGAGTACATCTGGTACTTCAGTGCTTATCAGTGATCTTTTTTCCTTTAGGCGGTTTCCTAGAAACATGATTGCTTGCTGGTCTTGATCTCACAGCTTTGTGAAGACTTCTTCTCTGATAATGTCAAGTTCAGGCTACCCTCCTAACCAGGGAGCATTCAGCACAGAACAGAGTCGTTATCCTACTCACTCTGTCCAGTACACCTTCCCTAGCACTCGACACCAGCAGGTAAGGAGACATGAGGATTACAAATTTAGCAAGAGTATAATTCGGGTGTTTACTGTACCAAGTGGGATTTTTTTATTATTATTATTTTTTTTAAACCAATGTAATATAAGTCGTTCACATTTGAAAACAGTGGAGCTGCAGACCAATATGCCCTGCTGAGGAGAGCTGCTGCCAGTGTTGCTTAGGTAAATAGTTGTGGGGTGGGGTGGTTTGCTTTGCCCTCTTTTTTTTTTTTTCTGAAAGCATTGCATTTTGATTCTTGAAGATTATATATGTATCTGCTTTTTTACTTGTTTCTTGACTGAAAACTGAGCCTTATAAGTCTGTATCTTTATCAGGGGGAATTAATAAAAACTTCCTGGTTTTATCATTGGTTTCTGGTACTTTGAATAAATTCACAAGAGATTGTGTTAATAAACTTATGTTTTAGTTTTGCTTTAGTTTATTAATGTTTAGTCATGATACTAACTTTGTCCAATGGAAGTAAGGCCAAGTCCATATGCATTCAAAGCAATAAATTTCCTAGAATGTGCAAATAATCTGTCTACAGTTAGTATATGTTTAATGTGAATGCAGTGTTCTGGGTGTAACAAATCCTTTAAGAGACTGGGATCTTGGGGCATTTGTGGGTACTAAATTTTTATGGGGAATTAATCTCCTATTAGGCCCAGGAGCTTAAGAAGTGAACCCATAGTCATCTTTCCTCCACCTGTATAAGGAGTATTGGGCTAGATTCTGTATAAGCTAAATATAGTGCTTGACAAAATTTGTGTGCAAGGTGGAAAATGCGAATTTGACGTGTAAAAACTTGTGTTACGCTCAGAACACAGCTCTAGCTGTGTTCTGCTAGCCAAAATAGGGGTAATGGATTTCTAAGAATCTCCTACTTGGTCATTTCTGCTGAGCATTTATTCTGCCATCCTGTGCTCTCTATGGCATGGTAGGCTGTATAGAGTAGCTGTTGGCTTTAGAACAGCTCAGGTTTCCCTTGTTTTAATGAAGTTCTCCTTCTGCTACAGATACTTCAGATGTTTTGTTCTACTCACATGTTTGCAAAAGGAAATTCAAGAATTGGAACTCTTTGGCTTGCTCTGTGTTTATTTTTAGATAATTTGTAAAAACTAAATCTTATGATAATGACCTATTGCATGTTTTGTAGAGCTTCTCTTTGGTTAACGCCAGGTGCCTATAATTTTTAAAAGCAAGTGGTCAAAGACCTATATATACACATAAGTTGTCTTGTACCTCACTGATTATAAATTATATCAGTCAGAAGATGCATCTTGTCTGACTTGGTCCTAATTAATAGTGTCTTGAGGTGATAACAGAAGAAATTGCCTTAGGGTTGCTGAAACATATTCTCATTTTACCAATTTGTAGTTGCATGTGAAAAAATTTATTTTAAAGGATATCTTTTTAAAGGGTATTCTGCTGCTGCTGACTCTTTTGCATTTTGTTAGAAGTTATTGATAAGTTAGGTGGAATTCTTAGCATAAATATTTAGTCTCATTAATATTAATTTAAAATTTAGAACTGCCACTTACAAACTTTATTTTTTTGAGCTGGAATAAGTGTTTGGTGATCTGGTCTTGTCTATATTTAATATATTTGAAAATGATCATTCTGTCACACCAAATGCTTTTGATCCTGTCTTCTGTGCCTTTGTTCCTGTTAACATCAGAAGTGTGTTTCATTTAGGAATTTGCAGTTCCCGATTATCGTTCGTCTCACCTGGAAGTCAGTCAGGCAACCCAGCTCTTGCAGCAGCAGCAGCAACAGCAGCAACAACTTCGACGCAGGCCTTCCTTGCTTTCTGAATTTCACCCAGGCTCTGACAGGTGAGGATGCTGGTTTTGGCATATATGAATGTGAGTCTTCTATGAGTCTGTGCTTTCTGTAAAGTTAGTTTTAACTTTTGAATAGAAAGATTTTTGAGTTTGACAGGTTTTGTCTAAGTATTTGACTTTATTAGTTGGTCCTCCATTGTTGTAACAGTGTTGGTCTCCTGTGTTTAAGTGTTGTAGCTGTTGTGTAATTCCCCAGTCCCTTTGGCTTAACTAATAGATTTGTTTCGCAGATAGGAAGTGGCAGTCCTTTGCTTTTCCCACACCTCTCCTAACAACACTTTCAGTAAACTTCTGAGAATCCAAGTGCATCTTGCAAACTTTTTAGTGCTGTTTAGGCTAAAAGTGTGTAAAGTTTGTACCTTTGGATGATTTAATCTTGCCGAGTAGAAGCAACAAGTGCAAGAGTTTTTACAGTGTGAATATTACCTGTCATATTGCCTAGATTAGGCTTGCTTATTCAACAGATGGTATCTATGTGGCTGCGCAAGTAAGAAACAACAGAGCTAATTGGGTATTTGAGTTGTAAGAATTGTAAAACACTGAAATGTAGCACAAAATGGACTTCTAGGCACAGAGGACTAAATCAGAGTCTGTGCTACTTTTGGCAAGACACTTGACAGCTTCATATCATTTGTTCCAAATACCCTTTTTGTCACTCTTGTATACCATTCCTGTCTCAGTGTAACTAGATGCAACTGATCTGAGTCCAGTAGGTTAACTGAGGACAAGTATAGTGAACAACTACAGTGAATCATATGTTGTAGTTTAGTTTCAGGCTGGTAGTATCTTACTTCTCAGTAAAATGGGTTACTTCACAGTGGATATTGCTGAATGTTCAAATGTACGTTAGTATTACTGTAAGGCTGATAAGTTCAAGAAAGTTTTCAGACCGTGGTAACATTCGTTTGACTATATACTTGAAGAATATTGGGTGTACTCTGAAAACCAAATTTAGAAATTAAAATCCCACTACAGATCAGAGTAAGACTAACTGGATTGTTGTAAATTAGCAAGAATATACTTCTGTTTAGGGGAGAGGTTACTATATGATTTATGCACCTCAATTCTTTAGTGTATTAGTATGCTTATGTACAGTCATAAGCAAGTGTTACTGCTTGTAACAACCTCTTTTTTTCCTGGACTTTTAGTAAGTATATCTGCTAGGAGCAACTTTATATGCTGAATTACTGCTAGCACTTTATTTTGGCTGTCACTGAGGTGTCTGTTTCTGAACAAATACCAGTGATTCATGTTATGTAAATACTGGTCTAGCTTAAAATCTCATCAGAATATTCCCAGAAAGAAATATTCCCAGAAATAACTTGGAGATAGTGAAATCTGAGGCTTGTATATTGCCTTCATTTTGTGTCACCAAAATGTCAGTAAGGCTCTGTTTTAATGCTGAGCATCATAGTAGCTTTTAGAGTTCTCAAAACTTTGGTTTATAGCAGAAGTAAATCCCCTCCTTGCCCCACATTTGTAAATTTGTGAAAGCTTATTCAGTAGTTCTGGCAAAATACAGAAAACTACTGTTATCTCTTCAGTGGCACTTCACAGGAAGATGTTGAAGCATATGAGGTTCTGTTATGGACATCCCGTGCATTGTACTGTAAAGAAGCTAGCGATACTGTTCTTTTGCATTTTTCTGAGGAGGAGGAGTTTTTAAATGACTCGTGGATTGAATCAATGACTGTTTCTGTCATATAGTAGCATTTTAGTAGAGATCAAGTTCCTAGTAGACTCATGGCTCATTTCAGACATTCTGTGTATATTTAAAAATTACTTGACTGCAAAAATGAAATAATGGAGCTGTTGTGGCCATCTGTGTTCAGTGGAATATAGTACTGTATTTACCTCATGGATTTTTTTTATTTGTAATTTTAATCAGAGCTTTGATTTGACAATATCATTAGAGCAGTGGTAAGTTTCTTTAGGGGTTTGTAATGATAGGTATGCATTTAAACAGTGTCTTTTAAGATTCAAGTTAACTTTCTCTTTTTCGATGGATTTTAACTGTTGTATTTTTGAAGATCACACTTAAAAACGTTTGTCTGCCTTGCTGTTTAGAAGGCACTTCACTAAATTGCATCTCTTGTGTATTTGAGGAGGGTTGAGGAACACCAAATAGTTTTCTTGTATGGAAAATATGTATTTTAATAGTTAATCTCTTCTGTATATTAGGCCTCAGGAAAGGAGAACTGGATATGAACAGCAGTTTCATCCAGGTCCGTCTCAGACAGATCATGATTCACTGGAATCTAAGCGACCACGTCTTGAACAAGTCTCTGATTCCCATTTTCAGCGTGTCAATGCAGCTGCTGTCTTGCCTTTAGTACATCCTCTGCAGGAAGGGTTGAGATCTGCGGATATTAAGAAGGTAAAGCCACTTTTTATTATGATGCGGAAGGTGTAACTTCCTATGTTGTGGCGAGCTATAAGAATTTTTTTCTGTTAGGTAATTTTTTTTATTTGTTTAGGTTCATTCTTTAATCCCAGAAACATTTCTGCTTTTCAATTTAAAGTTGCTGGTAAATTCATGCGAATCCTTTTTTTTTTTTTTTTTTTCTGTAATTAATATTTGTACTGAATGGTCAAAGTACTCCCCTCCGCCCCCTTTCCCGTTTAAGCATTTGAAATGAATCTGCTTATTTACATAACACTAATTATACTTGTCACTTGGGTAAATCTAGGACAATCTGGTATGATGTGGATATTTTTTATTATAGATACTGAATATTGATTAGAGAAATTTGTATAAAGCAGACAACTGTCTCTTAAATGAATATTTAATATCTTCTCTCATGCTCGCACACAAGCACACAGCCTCACACTCCAAAAAGGTGGTGCCTCATGGGTGTGACTGCTGAAGGTGAGCGCTCAAGTCTCTAAACTCAGATCATTTAACATATGGATCTGAAAGGTAATAGGCACCAGATTTTTAAAAATTTGATTACTTGTCTTGCCTTCTCTCTACCATTCCTTTTCTCATGTGAATAAACTGTCTGTGAAGTAAAGTAAAATTATGATAACGTGTGATTTCTTAGTAACTTGCTCTGTTGCATAGCAAAGATAAAATCAAAGGAGGTTGGAGAAACTGAGCTAAGGCATGCAATGTTAACATACTTGCATGTAACTGAATTTTTATACACGCGCTACATATAGAAATCTACTGTCTCAATTTAGAAATACAGCCTAGTATTATCTTGAGGAGAAGTGACATTCAGACATGCCATCTTTCAGTCAGATTGGCTTGAGTGAAGGATGTATTACTGAGCTAGCGTTTGCCAGAGCGGTAGTCATGGAGCATGATGGTCTGAGGGCATAAACAAAAACAAGGTATAACAGTGCTGATGTTAGAGCATGAAGCATGTTGAAATATATCATTTGGAAACAGACAAAAAAGGAAAGACAAAAAAATCAAAGCCAAATGAATAGTGACCTGTCCTCTCTTAAGTCGTTGCTTCTCTTAAATAATGTTAAGTTCAAGAGAACTTAACATTTATGATCACAGCTAACTCCAGATGTACTTTACCAGGCTGGTCATGGTTATCTTCAAGAATATCCTCATCAATATATGTGCAGAGTATTGAGGATTGGCTCTCAAGCAACCCTTCCTTTAAAGATAAAAGATACTGTTTACACTTGTGAAAATGTATTTTTAAAAGGGAGACGTTTTGATCTTATTGTGATTTCAAGGTAAATATTGAAGTGTGCTGTTATTTTTTAAAGGTGGACTTTGAAATTGCAGTATCATAATTGGGCTGCCATGAAATTCTAAAATATTTAGAGCATTAATAAACTGAAATATTGAACTCCTCAACAGAGAGATAGATAACTGGAAATTCTTTTGAATTCATGCATGCTAGTTTGGTTACTGAGCACTCATTCACATGTTATCAGTATGACTAATTTCTCTCAATCTCCCCCTCTACCTCCTGTCCCCATGAAAGGACCCAGCTTTTGGAGGAAAGCATGAGGGACCATCTTCTCCAATTTCTGGTCAGCCTTGTGGGGAGGACCAAAATGCTTCACCTTCAAAGCTGTCAAAGGAGGAATTGATACAGAGCATGGACCGTGTAGATCGTGAAATTGCAAAAGTTGAACAGCAAATCCTTAAACTGAAGAAAAAGCAAGTAAGCATAGCAGACACTACTTTTGTTAACTGCCACTGAAAAAGGTGTGGAAAAACTTCATGTGGTGGTGGTGAATTTTTTGGTTACATGTACCAAATGAACAAGTTAAAAAGGGAAGGTTATGCCTATGATTTTGCTAGAATGTTTCCTAGAACCAATTAAATAGATTGGACATCGTGTAGTTTTAAACTTTTTTGAAAATAGGAGAAAGCTACATAGGAACACCAACAGTCGATGGCTTTATATTTTAAACTTTTGTAGGTGACTAGTGAAACAAGGACACTGTAACTAATGTCAGCTTTAAAAATGACTGCTGGGTGAGGGGAGGCTGTCATCTTTCTTTTTCTGCAGTCTGTGCAAGGGGAGAATCCCTTGCATGCATCTCCAAAGCGAGAGTTTGTACAAAAGTCCCTGGATCGTCTACTTTCACAATGGCAAGAGATCCTAACATCTGGAGCTAAGGTCAGCCTTGGAGGAAGGTGTAGTAGAAGCGGTGCAAGTAAACAGAGAGAGCAGAGAAATAAAGGAGGAAATATCACTTTTTTTAGTATGATCCTGGCTGTGCTTTGCATCAAAGAACTGCACTTCAGCCATTGGAAGCAAAAGAAATGCTTGCTGGCAGTAGTTATTGCCTTCCCAGTAGCTGTTGTGGCCAACTAAACCCACCCTTCAATCTAGGCATCTGTTATTCATTGGCAAAAACAAAGTCCTTGTCTCCTTTTCCTTTTATGACTTTCAAAGATCCAGATAAAAGTAGTCCCAGCTTTACATATTTTATTTTTTTTTTCAGTGGGAGCTCTGTAGGAGTTGCACTATAGGATTTGTTAACTTACAGGTCCAGGATAATAGACGGACAACTCTCTGGAGCAGTATGTTTTTATGGTCTGGAATCCTTTAATTATGTCTGAATTTTACTGACCTGTAAAGTGACCTTCAGCAGAAAAACAAAAAAGGGATGTCACTAAGTACCTGACTCTGTTAATGATGGTTATCTTTTTGTTTGTTCACTTTTTCACAAAATCAGCAAGTACTATGTGTATCATCTATGAAGGTTCATTTGTGCACATTTGTACTACGATTTGACTTTAAAAAAAAAATTGCAAAGTTGCTGTTGCCTGCAATAATTGAGCCTGTTTACTATGGCATTCTGCAAAAATTTTAGATTTTGAATTCTTATGCAGCAATATAGCACATTCTAGCCAGTACTGTAAGACAGAATGGATCCCTAGCATCAGGAGTTCTTTGTTGTATGTTTGTGGCAGACATGGATGAAGGATATTTACAATTAAAAAATGAAGATGTCACAGAACCAGGTTTATTTTATGTGAAAGTAAATCACAGCAGTATAGTAGCTAGGAAAATATCACAGTTTTTTTTTTGCTGTTGGTATTTTCTGTTTGTTTGGTATTGTAACAATCTTGGAACTTCAATACATGTGGAGTGGTTTATTTCTGCTGTGAAGTGTCTTTAGAATGATGTTCTCTGTGGAGTGTTAGAGGGACTTTTCTACCTTTTTAAACAATAAGACAGTAGTAATAATTACACTTGAATATCTACAATGAAGAGAGGCAGCTCTGTGGATTACTTCCTCTGAGAAGGCAGATTTGGTGTGACTGTTCTCCAAAGTTAATATTTTTGTTTAAAGTTAAATAGTGATAAATTACAATGTGACAGTGGCTCTAAATGTCAAGCTGAAACAAGTCTGATTCAATGCAGGTGAGTCTTCTAAACAGTTAATTCGATTTACCAATAGTACAAAAAAATAGTCTTGTTATCGTTCCTGTTGACATTAAAACCATTTCATTCATTCCTTGTCAGTTAAAAAAGAGAAATAACAGGCAGTGCCAACTGTTGATCAGATGTGTATTTTATCTCTGGTGACTAATTACTGGTAAGGGTAACATGGTGCGGATGGCTGATTTTCTTTCTTTCGTCTCTTAGCAACAACTTGAAGAAGAAGCTGCTAAGCCTCCAGAGCCAGAGAGGCCTGTCTCCCCTCCTCCAGTGGAACAGAAACACCGCAGTATTGTCCAAATTATTTATGATGAAAATCGGGTAAGCGTGCTTTTCAGCTGAATGAGTGTAGCTGTGAATCTGACCTGGTGTGCTAAAATTCATTATGTTTTAATTTACTTCTGTGGGGCAATTTTTACTTCTCTTGTTTTATTGATTTGCCTGCCCCTCTTTTAATATTCATTTGCTTCTTTAAATAAAAGACATTTACATGACACTTTTATTCTTGATCACAGGATCCTTCTTCGATATTGTGAGCAGTCTAGGGAAACACATCTATGGATGTCATCCCTAGACCCTTATGTTGAGATGGATAGACAGATATATAAACACACACACACATATATATATATATATATAGCTGTTTGTATGTGTGTAGATAGGTAGATACAAAAAAAAAGCTTCAGAAATTTATCTTGAATTCTCCTTTCCTTACATAAATACTGACAAGCTTGGTTGAAGACCCAACATTTAAATTAACTGAAGGGGAGAAACTGCCCATGTTGTAAGATCCTGTGCCTTCTTTTTAAACTCTGACTTCTGGCGCTTAGGATTTGGATAAATGAACGAATATGAAGAAGTAGTATATAGGTGAATTGTGAGCTTGTGTTGCGTAAGTGGTGAGAAAAGTACGGGAGCTCAGTAATATTGCCAACTAAAGGACTTCCTATCTTTTTTCCCCGGTAGTTTGAGATTAGGGAGTTGGATATCTGCTGGTTTTGAAAGTATTATAATCTTTTGTGAGAGTGATATACGTTTGTTTAATTTCCCAATTTTATTTTGTAGTTTAGAGGAACAGCTAACTTCTATTACAATAGACTATTTTTGAAAATTTGAGGTGGTAAAAAACTGCAACACAATACTAGATTTTATACAGTAGAACTGTGTCCCAAGTTTTCCATGCAGCCTGTTCTCCCATTCCCCCAGTTGTCTGTGAAATTTGATGTATTTACTTAATATAGGACATTAAGGCAATTTGAAGATGTCTTAGCAGGCTGCTGTGCAGCTCCTTCTCTGCTAACTGTGGTTACAGGTGGGGTTTACAACAGAATTTTGAACTTGGTAGTGCCTTCCCCATGTTGTGTATGTGCCAGTAGATGGGGAAATCCATTTTTATGTTGCCTGAGATGGAGTAACGTGTGTCAGTGTACAGTCACCCGTTAACTGCTGCTGTCTGTGTAGCTGTTCATATAGTATTCTACATACAAGGAGAATTACCAAGCTTGATGCATTTGTGAATCCATTTAGTACTTCGTTTGAGTTCTCGTATCAGGAATTACATGTACTGTAGAATGGCAATATTGATGGGACTTAATCCAAATAGCAAGTGTCAATACTCACTGTCTTATTTAAAGGGTTATTAAAGATGCATTAAGCCAGTTGTGTACCTAGCACTTGTTCGGTGTCTTTTCTTCTACAGTTGTAGAAGAGGACAGTCCCCTTGGCAGCTTTCATCTTCAAACCATGCAGTTTAGTATAATTACTTCTAATAATCAACTACTCTTGGCTAAAATTTGGTTAAAGTAGTAGGGCTAGAGTTCAATTTTAAATGTTTTGTGAGCAGAAAAAACATTGTACCAGGGTAATACTGTAATATTTCCTTGATATATAATTATTTTGTACAGCAGTGAGTTCCAAAGAATTTCTCAAGATTGAAATTACCTGGAAAGAGGTTAGAATTTAGCAGAACACTTTCTAGTAATAACTGCTTTATGGTTTAGTTTCTTCTATATTTTTCTTTGCAGATGTCATAGGGCTAGCACATACAACTATTGGGGGGAAGGAAGCAAGTTTGAATTAGTATGTTGGGTCATTTCAGATAGTCTTGTCTGCTGACAGAAAGCTTTGGAAGATCGTACAGGCTTGAAATGGATTTGTGAAAGCCAACTTTCTCATCCAGTGCTGCCTCCTTGAGGGTCAGAATTGTTTTGGGGTCTTGACCAAGTGTGAAGGAAGGAGGACCTCTGACATAGTTTTCTGTGTGTGTGCGTATGTACACATTGATTCACACTCCCAGAGTTGGCAATTGGAGAATTTTAGTCTTTTAATTCCATTTTTCAAACCTAACTATACTTCATTTTACTGGATACCTTTCTTCCTCTTAATAATTATTTGCTGTATTATTTATTAAATTCATGTTCTTTTTGAGCTGCAGAGGTCAGTTTCTGCTTTTATGCTCTCTCAGCTTCCAAACATGGAGATGAGAGTAGTAACTGCACAACTCAAGTACAGATTTCTTGATTTGCTGAGGCAACATTGCAGAAGTAGGTTAAGAAGGATATAGTACGGTCAGACAGGGGTTTAGCAGGTAGGGTAAGTGAAAGAGTTCAGATACATTTTTGACACTAACTTCAGATGCTTTACTTAGACTATACAAAAAAATCTTATTTGCAGAAAAAAGCAGAAGAAGCTCACAAGATTTTTGAAGGTCTTGGTCCAAAAGTTGAACTGGTAAGTTGTGAGGTTTTTTTTCTTTTGTTCTATTTTCTGCATTGCCAGTTGCTGTAATTGTGTTGTGTAAACAGATACAGTTCTATATTTATGTGTAAAAGAAGGATATGTTTAAATGCGTTGGTGAATTGGGGCTTGAGTGAACTGATTTGCTGCATAAGTGCAATTTGTAAAATAGATTTGAATCTATTTGAAAGAACAGTTTGAAATATGAAAAAAATTAAATACTGTCATATACATAAGTAGTTATAATGATCTAATTTTAAGTAATAAAATCGATGCTTTGTGTTGAATATCTTCTAGTCCCTTCAGATTGCTGCTTCTCAAATTTAGTGCACTGTTGGCAGAATACTAAAATATTGTTAAATATATTGCATATACTTTTAGAATTACATGCACTGAAAAGTACTAAGCGTACCTTTCTAATCCAAAATTGTAGCCACTTTACAACCAACCATCAGACACAAAGGTCTACCATGAAAACATCAAAACGTAAGTGCTTTAATGTCTTGTCATTGTACCATTTAAGGGATCTAGACTTAAACATTCACTCATATTTTTCATTGCTGTGATTTCCAGCTAGGATGTGTGTACTTTAACCGTAATTAAAAGCATCCAGTCCATGTAGCTTTCCAATTTCTATGTTGTAGAACAGTGCTGGAAGACCTGTGTTATATGTACTGAAGGCAGAGGTAAACCATAACTTTTCATCTTAACGACAAAAATAACTCAAAAAATTTAAGTTGGTAATGCTTGTGTTTTTCAAAGTCTAAAATAGCAAATTTGACATAGATAAGTCTAGTCAACTTTGCCTGAATGTACTGTTCAAAGAAATGTTTCAAAAGTTACTGCTGTCAGTAAACCATAGGAGGAGTCCTGATGATTTTTTTTTTTTTTTTTTTTTTGGTCAATTATCTGTTTATTTATTGACGTAACCATGTACTCATTTTCTGTCATGGGCTATGAGCAGAGTTATTGCATGCTACACTTACTTGTTACTTAGGGCAAACCAAATTCAGTGATTTGAAATAAACTGGTTGTGTTCTCCTGGAAGGAACATGGATTTTGAAGAAAATAATTTTTTTGTTTCTTTTTTAATATAGAACTTGTTTCTCAAATCTGTATGAGCTATGTGGGTTTTTTTAGTTCACTGAAGCAAATATTGTTTATAAATTGAAATAAAGTTTTAATAGATTCATTTTTAAATGTGTTTGTTGAGCTTATTTGTACTCAAATTTGAATGTCCATAAAACAGACCTTCTCCATGGTTGTTTTTTGTTGCATCTGGTTACTTTGAATGTCTCAGTTCTGCAGAGTTGGTGGCGAACTCATTTCTCCACAGAAAGTCATTCATAACATAGAACAAGATCTTAATTTTTACCTATCTGTGTCAAACCAATGCTGATTTCACTCTGTAGCAATGTTATGAGACGCCAAAATAGTGATTGCTCCATTGCAAAAAAATGAGCTTATTGTGAAAATATGTATCGTTACCAGACTTTGGTGAACGTAATTGCTGAATTTTAACTGTCACGAAAGTGCATATTTCTTGCAAATCTTCTTTGAGGAAGTCCCACTCTATTGTAACTATGAAGACCAAGGCCTTTTTATGACTTCTCTAGGATAGTACCTGGCAAGAAAATATTTACTTTCATACCTCGCTTTGAAACTCAAATACTGGTGTTTTTGAGACAAACTTTACTGCTGTGGCATGATTATCCTGGTTCAAATTTGTTGAAGAACATTACTCTCTTCATAAGATTTGCTTGTTCATAACCAATTTCTGCACTACTAGTTTTTATAAAAGAAGAAATAAATTGTCACTTTGAGGTGTGAAGAAATGCACAGTGAGTTACGTGGATATTATTAAGTGCTATAACTTTTACTACCATTTTGTAGTATTTTGTAAGTACAGAAAAAATCCTACAGATGGCTGTTCTTTAAAAACTTCTGTTAAAGAAAAAAGTAATTCTTGCTCCACTTCTGCAAATCTATCTCTATAGTGTTGCAAAATACTTTTTTTTGAGTAATATATTGTAAAGCTGTTAACTTTAGGGTTGAATTACAAATAACTTTTTTTTACCCCCAAAGCATAGTATCTTAAGCCAAATTTATTCATTTTAGCATATTGCCTCTCTTGTGCTGAAGGAGAGCACCTAGCTTGAAATTGGAAGCTTTTGCGTCTCAATTGCTTATTCCAGCTATCTTCAACAATCTTCTCTCTGATAAAAGAAAGTATTAGTTAAATGATTGTTTCAACAGGAATTTTCCCTCTATTTTCTACCTCAAAAATATTTTTCATAATAATGACCTGGCATCTAGAATCTATATGGCCTTTGTTGAGTAGTTTTTAATTGCTTGATTCTTATGTAGTTCACAATTCTTTTCTAATTTTGTTTTCCAGAAACCAGGTGATGAGGAAAAAGCTAATACTATTCTTCAAAAGAAGAAATCATGCAAGAAAACAACGGGTAATACTACCATCTTTTTGGTTGGTTTTCTGTCTGGATACTTGACTTGCATTCCCAAATGTATCACGTAAATCCTATTGATTAGAAAAATAAGATCTTAAGCTAAAATTCTGTTGATTTATTGGAAAATATACTGCATGTTTATAACTGTGGCTTCTTGATTATTTGACTGAAAATCATCTAAAGTACAATAAGGAAAAAGTTTTTTTCCTTTCCTTTTCTTTTCTTAAAGAGTTTGAATGGAAGAGACCCAGTGAAAATCTTTAACTGTCATGCTTCATCTCTCTTTGAATTTCTTTTCTTATATATTAGCTATAGTATCTGAAAGAAAATGGGGCAGATCTCTGATTTTTGAAGTCTGACAGCATGTTTGATCAAACTTGTGTATGTTGGGTACCAGTATTAGTTGACTTAATGCTTTCTGTTGCATGCTGTTGTAGCAAGTGTACAAAGTCAAAAGGCTCTTTTGGGTGGTGTCTGAAAGCTCGTTTTTTGTTACTAAGAATAGCAGAAAGTTATACATCAAATTGGAAGATTCCACCATGAAAATGTAATGAAGTATTTTTCTTCTTATGGTCCTATAGTTTTTTTATGTAGGAGCAACCCCCTACATGTTGCTGAGATTGAGGACATACTGTAATTATTCCAGCCCCTTTGTCTTAATTAAAAAGTTAAAATAAAATAAATAAAAATGAAACAATGAAACCAATTCCACTAGTTAAAAGCCTGGTACCAGAAGATGTGAGGTTTCTGGAAGGCAGTAATAACATTTACCAAATACCATTTGGTGTGTAAAGCAAAGAAATAGTGTGTAATATTCAAAATCTACATTTTTATGTGCAATTCCTCACCTTCTCTCTGCTGAAAATTGGGTATATGTCGTCTTCAAAATGGAAGCTGCTAGAGCAGGAGAAATATGTCTGTTTATTCCAGGAGCCTACCCGTGTTATGTGTACTGATCACTTAGTGTATTCTTGTTTAGTTCAAGGTTTACTTTTGGAATTTAACAGGAACAGAAAATCTGTCAACGTTATGATCAGCTGATGGAGGCATGGGAGAAAAAGGTTGACAGGATAGAAAATAATCCACGCAGGAAAGCTAAGGAGAGCAAAACAAGGGAGTACTATGAAAAACAATTTCCAGAAATCCGGAAGCAAAGAGAACAGCAAGAACGATTCCAAAGGTATTACCATGGATTTGAAATACTCCCACAAAATATCTTTTAGGACTTAAGTTTCAAAATTATTTGTAATAAAATTGGCTCAGCTTAATGGTTAAGTTTTATGTACGTAATTTTATTCCTTAAAAACAATTATTAGTGTATCATACAATATAAAGTAAAATGTTCTTTCGTTTGTTCACTGTGTTTCATGGCATTGAACTCGAAGTTTCACTTCGTATACTAAGGATCTTCATGACTGTCCTTCTTGTATATCCACTGTCATTCGTCTCGCCCTTTCCTGTCCCACCCTATCAGTTTTGCCAGCAGTGCTAGCCTCATCAGTTTGGTGTGCTCTTGGGCTGCTTTACTGATGTCCAAATTGTTCCTTTCCTATCCCCCTTTTTAGATCTGCCATCAAAACCCATATTTTCCAAAAGAAATACAGAAAAAGAGCTAATGAACAAAGGCTCGTTAGGTTGTGGTGCTCGCTGAGACTATATGAGTTAAACTGCTCAAATGCACAAAGAGATTTGTGGGGTTGGTCTTAAGATAATTGGAGCATCAGCTTCATGTGAGCCTGTTCATTTTGGACCTACACCCTAATTTATACTTGGTATTTTTCTGTCACAATTTAAGTGAACTTTTGTTGTACTTGCAATGTAATTTTATTCCAGATATTTTTGCTTTTTGAAGTATGCAAGCTACAACAATTAAGTCCCTATTATTGAATTTTAATCTATCAGACATCTGTTAGATGGAAACTACAGAGAGTCTTGAATGAAGTGCAATTCCTTATCTCTATTTGCAACTACCTGAAAGGAGGTTGTACTGAGGTGGGTGTCGGTCGCTCTTCCCAAGTAACAAGCGATAGGACAAGAAGAAATGGCCTCAGGTTGCGCCAGAGGAGATTTAGATTGGATATTAGGAAAAATTACATCACTGAAAGGGTTGTCCAGCATTGGAACAGGCTGCCCAGGGAAGTGGTGGAGTCACCATCCTTGGAGGTATTTAAAAGGTGTGGACGTGGTGCTTAGGGGTATGGTTTAGTGGTGGACTTGGGAGCGTTGGGTTGACAGTTGGACTTGACGATCTTAAAGGTCTTTTTCAACCTGAACAATTCTATGATTTGAGAGTTCAGTTTATCTACGGTACTGTAGGTAGTGCTTTAAATTAGAATTGGGTCATTTGATTCAGTTATATTGAAATCTGTTTATCTAATGTTTGAAATAATTTTAGTAAACCTTTGAGAGTTCAAATACCATAAAGATTTGATCTCATCATCTCTTCTAACCATCTGTCTAAATCACCATACTTCATAAAACATAGGAAAAGCAGATAGTTTGCAATGTATCATGAAGGCTGCAAGATCTGGCTTTGTGGAATCAAGAAAAGAGGAAAAGAATGTAAACTGTTAGAATGGAAACAGCACTCCTATCTATAAGAAGCTTTTTACTTTAAGAATATGTCATATCTTTGTAATTGCAAACTACTTGGGAAGGGAGCATCTCTTTACATTATATTTATGTTCTCTAACATAATGGCATCTTTTGTCTATAGCTGAGCCTCTAATAGTATTGCCGTGTAAATACTAAGGGTTTTTTTGGTCAGATTTTGTGCAAACTGATTAGTTCAGTAAAATCTTTGAGCAAATGAAGATGTTTTGTCTCTAATTATCAGTGATTTTTGTCTCTGAAATGCTTTTTGACCCACATGCTGTAATATATTATTATGATGTTCTTAAGTGTAAAGATCACTAGCTGAAAACTTCTTCCAAATTACAGCTCTCCCCATCAATTCAAAAGTTAAAAATTTTCCTTTGCTGTAGTGAGTCTCAGTGCTGTATTAGTAACTTGACCAAATTGATGAAAGGCAAATTTAGTGTTCCTTTTTTTTCTTTTAAAAAAAACCCAAACAAATAAACTGTCTTTCACAGTGTATCCGTTGTACTAATTAAGATGGTGATTTCTGTGCCACTGATGAACATATCTTGTACTCAGAAGTGCATTAATGTGTCTAAAACACCTACTATCAGTGGAATCGGTGGTAACACTCCTTTTTTGATGTTGACTCAAGCATGTACTTCTTGCTGCGCTTTGCAAATTCACCTGTAAAACTGAGCGGTTGTTTGAAATTGCAGTACATGAACAGGGTTTGTACTCTGAGATTACTTAAGAAAGAACAGTCCTAACTAATTTGGGAGACTGGTAACAGTGTGTTAAGGAATTTTGAAGGTTGTCATCGTTGTGTACAAAATCTGAAAATATAGCTATTTTCCACTTTATCCTTACTACTTCTGTTTTCCCCTGATTCTAGAGTTGGTCAAAGAGGGGCTGGACTTTCAGCAACTATTGCTAGAAGTGAACATGAGATTTCTGAAATCATTGATGGACTTTCTGAGCAGGAGGTGAGGCTATTGTCTGTACTTTGATATAGAAGGACAGCAAATGACTTGATACTCTTTTATTAGCAGTGAACGGTCTCTTTCAGAGGGTTTGTTTTTTGATAAGAGAAGCCTTTTGGGACTGGTTTGAGAGAATCTGTGTGAAGTTTGGCTTGAAACAGGTCTTACAAATACTTTTATTTTAAAGGTTATGCTTCCTAATTGTATCTGTCCTAGATTTTTCTCATGTGTCTGTGTTCATTGCAGACTTGCTACAACCTAATTTTTTACAGCTCTAAAAAGTATGTGAAAACTCTTCCTTTCTTCTTATGAAAACCCTGCACCATTTTAGTTTTTCATCATTTGTGACGCTGTTTCCTTTAGCTGACTGTGTACATGTTCATTGGGATAGTGACAACTTCTGGAAGAGTTAAGAAGTGGACAAAAGGAATATATACTGTGGTGAAGCTTTAAAGAGTTCTGAAATTCAAGAACTGTAAACATTACTAGCAACTTTTTGTATTCTTTACTTTTTCTTTTATTCTTTGCCTGTAGAATAATGAAAAACAAATGCGTCAGCTCTCTGTCATTCCTCCCATGATGTTTGATGCAGAACAAAGACGAGTGAAGTTTATTAATATGAATGGTCTGATGGAGGATCCCATGAAAGTTTATAAAGACAGACAGTTCATGAATGTCTGGACCGACCATGAGAAAGAGATTTTTAAGGAAAAGTAATGGGCTTTCTTATATTTTATTTTTCTTACATTGCAAATGACAGTTAAATACCTAACCCCACAGTAAACATCAGTTAAATTGGGAATGCTGAAGCTTTTGTGCAATAATATTTGATAATGTTCTTAGTTGGATGAATGAAACATTGCAAAAGTTTTAGACTTCACTTATTTTTCAACTGAATAGGCTCACGTGCATTTAATCCTTAGATAAGAAATTCTCTCAAAAGTACTTTAGTTCTGTGATAAGATTAAAATGAGAAGAGTAGGTATATGATCTCATTTTACCACCTAATAGCTAATTTTAAGTGCTTAGTTCTAAATTTGCACAGTTTGAAAACTGGGCTTTTTAGACTAACTTCAGTTGTGTAAATCAAAGGCTTGCTGATGGAACAGACTGTTTGGAAGACTGCTTTATTGGTTGATCATGAATTATGTTGTTAAACTTAAATAATTTTTGATTTATAAAAGGTTTGTCCAACATCCCAAGAACTTTGGTCTAATTGCTTCCTACCTGGAACGAAAGGTAAGACTTTTAAAAATATAAGTAGAGCCTAGGGTGGGATCCCTAACTTTCCAAATGTAAGTCATTTATCCCACCATCATTTTCTCTTCCTGGAAAAAAAACTTGTCCAAAAAAAGTGACTACTTTGACAGGATTTTATAATACTTGATCAATAACACAATCAGTGCATGCAAGCATCTAACAAAAGGTAGTGAAATGATACTATTGACAACAATAAAAGAAAATGGCATTTCATTTGGTTTTCATCTTATTTTCTTTTTGAAGCAGGTAAGCTTCTTTAACTCTCTCACTGCTTAGATAAGGACATAGTTGGCTCTGCTGAGCCGCTGTGCTAACTTGAAGAAACCTTGCCACCACCTTTCAAGTCAGTGGGATCCTACTGCTGGCTGAATTGGTCTTTAGAACTAATTTTAGTCTTTAGAACTGATTTTGCAGAACTAATGTAAGAAGTAATGGAAAATTAGGGTTTGTTAAGACTTACTAGAGAATCTTGAGTACGTACGGCTATTATGATAAATAGAAGCTTTCAAACTTGCAAATTGTCTAGTGTAGATTAAATCATGCAGACTAAAGTAGCTGAGGGATATTATAAGTACATGAGACTTGCATTTAACACTGTAATTTTATGCATAGTTGTATTATTATATTTGTGTGTGAATTCACTTCCCTGCTGAGCAAATGAATCTAATAGAGTTTTATTTTAGTCTAGGGGCTGAATAGTTTAAGTGTTGAGAGAAATTAAATACTAAAAATGTATTGTTTGTAGGAGTAAAACCTAATTTTTTTTTCTCTTTCACTTTAGAATGTTCCTGACTGTGTATTGTATTATTATTTGACCAAGAAAAATGAAAATTATAAAGCCCTTGTGCGAAGGAATTATGGTAAACGCAGAGGAAGAAACCAGGTATCTTATATTTATTTATCAATTGGATATTATTTTATTGATTTGTATGTACTACTGTCTTAATATCCAATATAGCAAATATATTATATGCATGAGGGGGGGAAAAAAGGAAGAATAATTATTTTTCTTTTATTGCATTTTTGCCCTGTTTGAATTTAAGTAATCCGGACCTCAAGGGTGTTCTTGGTTAATTTACTTTTAATTCTGTGGAATATCTTCTTCCTTTGCACATTTGTGACTTTTTTTCAATATGACAATTCGTTTTATTTGAGGACCCTACTATAGACATTGAAGTTGACTCCATCATTGAATACGGTGTTGGAGGCAACAGAAATTAAGTTTAGCATGTGACTTGCAGTGGAAAAATACATAATCGCTTCATAATGTCAATGTTTGTCAAAAAGCAGAAATGAACAGTGATCTTTATTTGATGGTCAGGCTCAAAGTCAAACTGGAACTTCCTAGCAAGAAGAAAGAGACCAATGTAATGCATGCAAATAAAAAATTCTGCTGATTCAGGAAGTATTCTTTTGGAAGTTTTGGAAGTCTTTGGAGGGGAAAAGAACAGCATATTATGTTTATGTACAAAAAGCATATAAATATGTTTGCTAGGCTACCAGGGTTAATGTGGATATTGGAAAACAAACAAACAAAACCACAAAAAAAATTAAGAACCTCGGAGTTTTTTTAAAGAAAGCAGGAGGAGTGCTGTGTATTCACTGAACATGTTCCCTCCTCCTCCCATTTGGTTTTCCCCTTGCATCTATCAGGTATTTGGGAAGTACTGAAAATAGAATGAAAGATAAGTCAGTGACGAGGTTAGGAAAGAAGGTCATATATGAAATAAAGTACATGAACAGAGTACTAGATGTAGCAACAAAGCCTGCAGGTATTTGAATTTATATCCTTAAAACAAATTTAACACCTGGAAACCAGTACAGATATGCTGTGCTGAAGAAATACCCAGTGCTTTGTTGGAACTGAGGCTTGATGGGGGCAGGAGGGGAGGGTCCTTGCACATTCTGGGTTTTAGAAATCTGCAGACCTTAAAATCTGAGGAGTTATGGGGTATTGGATTTAGTCATACCTCAGTGGCGATACTAAAGAGAAAATTGTTGAGACTGAGAGGTATTGTGACTGCCCAAATCTGTACTGAACTGCCAAAGAGCAAATTAAGTAAATATTACACTTCAGGATATGTGAATCCTCTTTTCAAATAATGTAAGTTTTCTGATAGTCCCAGTAAATGTGGTTTTTTTAATATAAAAGAAAATGGCTGCAAACAGCTTCAGCTGATAAGTTGATCCTGTTCACTAGAAACAGTCATCATGTTGTGCTTCTGTGGTGCTGTTGTACTTAAACCTTTTAAATTATAGTCTGATGTTCTAAGAGAAGAGATCGTATCACAGAAGACTTACTTGTCTGTTCTCCACAAATTATGGATTGCTTGGAATAAGATCACTTACATTATGCACAAGATTTAGTTAGAGCTTCTACTCTGACTAATTGTGAACTGCCGTGATAGGAGAAAATACTGGAAATAACCTGTATTTTGCCAGAACTTCTGTTAGACTTTCTAAGCCTAATAATGCATTTTAATAGGAAAAGTATGTTGTTATGTGACTAGCGATGGTGAAAGATTCCAATTAAAGCATAGATATGTGGTAAATAAAAAGAAGATGGAAATAAATAAGATTGTCCAAAATGTAGACAATCGCTGTGGACACTAAATGCAGATAGTGCTGCTGTTTTAAGTGGCTCATTTTCATATTCCATTATAAAATGAGATTGGTGTGATCATAGTAAGTATACACATGTTGAGCAGTATCTTTGCCATATGATGTTCTTCTGCAGCTATTCTAAGAGGTGAGGAGACAGAGCTGGCTCAAGCTGTAATGCAATGTAACTGTAAGTTTTGAGATACTCAGAAGATCGTAACTGTGTATTTAAATGCCTTTCAACACTGTTAAACTTTAGAATATTGAAACTGATAGAATTAAAAATTTGGGTGGATTTCTCAATCCATAAATTGTTTGCTTTCCTTGGATAATGCATATAAACTAGAAAGATTTTAATTACAGCCTTATACACAAGGGCATAGATTTGTGAACTTAGCTCACTATGAAAGGTGCTCTGCCTGACACTGTAACTGCTCCTGTGAATACTGATTTATATGTGAATAACTAAATATGTGAGTTGGAACACTGAAGCTGCTGTCATTGTTCATTCAACTCAAATTACTTGCTCTTTGAATTTTAGCAAAGTTGTAGATCTGTATTAATATTGCCAGTTGTTGATCCATATTAAGTACTACGGCAGATCGCTAAAATTTGGGCAACTGCTACGCAGGCTTGATGTGTGCTCTGTTAAGGATGCAGGTAAGTGTCAGACTATAGATCTGAAGAATGTTGAAGTATACTTGCAAACTCAGGGAAATACTCTAAACACTCTAAATGGGAAATGTTACCATTTCTGGAAGTTTACATTCAGAAGTATGGTAGTTAATGTGTTTAGTCACGCTGTAGTAAGGAATTACGTGGTACCAAAAATCATATTTGTATTTCTTTAATTTTATTTGTGATTAATTAGCAACATCTGTAACAGCTAGGAAAAAAGAACTTGAGAGTGTTGAACTGCCTTGCTTGCCAGAACTTTTATCTTATGGTTGCAGAATGCAATTCATCCCCCTTCTCCCTCCCGCACCCCAGCTTTGTTTGAAGCTGATATTTTTCATATCTCTGAGCAACCTGAAACTTCCTTGCTGATTGGCAAACGCAAGTCGTGTAAGATTTATGATGTGCTCCAAGATATGCTTCTGCCAGTAACAGGTGCTTCAGCTTAAACTCTTAATAGTTCATATATTTTTGTAAATTAGAAGGCAAGCAAGTGGAATATTGCAGTGGAGAAGATATTAATCATGGTAATGATGTTGAAATCCTTCAGAGAATGTAGTGAGTACAACTTGACTCAAGTTTCAGTGTGGGGGCTTTTACTTTAGAGAAGCTGAATGCTAGATTAAGGCATGTCAAGTTAGGAGATGTAAGGCTTATTAAATTGTAATATATTTTTGTCCTCAAATAGGTCTAGAAAGGACTTTTTATAAAATGCTACCTAAACCGTTCCAGAATACTCAGAGAGGCAACTAAAAAGTGTGTCTTAAACCAAATGTGACTTCAAATGAAAAGCAAGTTTTTAACATAGTATTGGAAGAAAGCATGGCTATATGATACTTTCGTATCGATTATAGAGAATTCCTTAAATAACTCATTGAAAGGAGGTTCGTTCTGAGTAAAGTTTTTCACTGAACTTTGATAGCAAAGCGGTAGTCGGTAAGGGGTGTGTTTCTGTGGTCTGGCTGCCTGCTCAGCACAAACGCGTGTCTGCGAATGGAGCCGTGTGCCTTTGCAGCAGGTGGTACAGTCCAGTGATCTGACTAGACAGAAATTTGCTGTATGTCTGTGACGGCCAATCAAGCCGAGCTCGGTGGGGATTACCTCTGGTGACTCCGGTGAGATTAGAAGGTTGTATGTGAGATTGGCAACTCTGCTGTAGGCGGCTTAAGTGGCAGAATGACACAATTTCCTGGAATAAACACGTTGCTGGGTCAGGCAGCCTCTGCTAAAGAGCTGTGTGATGTCGGTGCTGGTGTGGTTTTTGTCCTTTTGAGTCGTACCCCGAGTTAAAGCCCGTCCCCTTGCCTGGATAGTAAAAGTTTTAATCAACACATGAATGTGCAGGTACGTCGCTGACCGAGGCTTCAACTGTTTTAAGGTTTGTGTTTAACCTGCACTTGACCTATTGATTATGCATGTTAAATAAATTCATTGTGAAATAGAGAACCCTGTTATTTACAAAGTGTGATGTTAAGTTAGCCAGGAAAACAGAGGATTTTCAGCAACTGTTTTGTAAATAGATCATATGTAAAATACAGACTTTATTTTTTTATTTTTTTCTCTTTTCTTCTGAAAATGCAGTTTTTAACTCCTTGCTTTTGAGACCAATCTATCTAGCACGATGGAATTAATTTATCTTAGCACGCCTCTGACGTCTTGCTTGAAGGAAGTTGTTGCGTAACCAAGTAATGCCAGCATCCTAAATGCTAATAATTTGCAGCAAGATGATAGTGGTTAGTGTTTGGGGTTTCTGCTCCAGTTCACATTGTTAAAATGTCAAAACCAAGTCTGTTTTGTGACTATTTCCAGCCTCAGTTTTGTTAGTGAAACAGTGACACCTGCTGCTATGCTTACAGAAAGATTGATTCCTCTGTGAAAAAGAAAAACCTATTTTGAGGAGTTTTTCAGTGGACTGTAAAATCTGAGTTACTGAAGTCCTAGAACAGCAATCTTGTAGTTCTCTGTCCTTGCTCTTTCCATAAATTGCCAAGTGTACTTTGGGTATTTGTTTGAAAGGTAGCTTTATATAAATATTACGTGTATTTTGCTTTTTGCAGTTGACTTGCAGAGTCTACTGCCCACTAAGGAACAAGTTGGTTTGGCACACACCAAATTTGGGTGCAGAGCATTTGGGTATTGCAGTTCTTCTGAATGGGTGACTCGGTTGACGGAGGTGGTTTGTTTAACTCATTCAAGCCCCTTCAGTGTAAACTCTTGTGAATGGTTCCCTCTATGTGGCCATATCCAACTCCCCACCCTCTCTTACATTTTGTAGTTTCTTATGAAAACATATTTAAGGCAGAATTTAAACTGTAATCATGCATTTTAAATAAACTTACATATTTTCAGAAAGGAGGAAGAGAGCTCTTTCTTCCTCTTTCCTTGCTTTTAACTCGAGTCCTGCCCACTATAACCTTGCCTGCAGCCTCAGACTTTCTTTTCTCATTCTTATTGTACAATGCCTATTACAGAAGGCATGGATTTTTCTGTGGAACTCAGAAGATCACCTTATCATAAATAACTATTCGGTGTGAATAGGCAATATGGATAAAGCTCTAGACTCCTGGTGTGGGTTGCTGGCTTTTCAGACCCATCAGGAGAATTCATTCGTTTGCTGTTTGCTTCATGGAAGGGTTCTGGGAATTTGGGGAGTGGGTTATGTGGTTTATTTAATGGCAGCCAACAACTGCTTGGTATTTTAGCCTGGAGGGGAAGGAATTTGCAGGCGAGCTATGGACAGAGAAATGCAATGGTGTTGGAAAGCGAGATGTTTTGACCATGTGCAGAAATATCATTGTGGCTGGCAAAAAGCAGTATTTAAGCTCCTAAATATGTTTAGGGAGGACAACAACACTAAAACTTAAGGAAATCTTTTTTGTAGCCACATTTGATAGATCTTTCCTAATACTTCCTCCGCCTGCCCAGTATAAGCAGTGTCATTTTTCTAATGTTTTCTTAAAACATCACAGGATATTTCGCTTGTCTATTGTTAGGCCACTTCTAACAGCAAAGTCAGAAAGAGAATGCCAAGGATTTTTTTCGTGTGTGTGTACATGTGTGATAAGAAATAGCAAAAACAATGCCACAAATTTTTCTTACTTTTTTAAGATTTTTTTTTTTCTTTGTTTGTTTGTTTTGTACCAGTTGTAAGGGACCATGCTGGTAATTCTATGTGATCACATTAAGTAACAGAAATTTCTTTCATTAATTACTGTTTGAAGCAGATTGTATCTTCTGTAAAGTTTAAATCAAATTTATGTGCTTTCTAAAAGGAGGTACTCTTGTACATGGTAATCATCTGGATTACCTTGAAAGATAAGGAGCAAGAGACCTTTAACAGGGAATGTGTAAATAATATTTTGTGCTGTTTTCCTTAGGATAATAACAGGTAATGGTAATTACTTTATTGTTTGTCAGTGTTTAATGTGCTTGTAAAACTATCATATCAATGAAGACTAAAGCTAAAACAAAAAATCTGGGCTATAAGTTTCCTTCTGTAAATTCGCTGGAAACATAAGTCTAAAATTCGTGACCCAATTTTTTGAACAATTATATTTCTTAATTACTAATGACAGTTTTGAGAACGTGACTTAGAGTTGGTCGTAATTTTCATGCTACAAGATCTTCTACTTCGAAGTTGTAAGCTATCATGTTTCACTATTTTAAAATGGACAACGTTAAAAATAAAATTTGAGAGGAGCAATGCCGTTATTATGCAAGATGTTGGTCAGACCTCTCTAAGCACTTTTAAAACGTAGCAGTTCATTTTTGAGTGTGACATACAACGGCACATGTATTTGTTGACACATGTATGTATACATTATCACCTTTGTGCTCATGCTGCAAAAGAAGCCCATACCTCAGTGGAATTTAGAAGGCAAAATACTGTATCTGAATGGGGCAACTGACGAGGAGAAACATAAGAGAAAAATAAATAGAGGTGTACTGAGCATATACGGCTAACCTATAGAAATGACACATTTTGTGGCAAAGGGGACTTCTGAAGTCTGGGAGATAATGCCTGGAACATCATGTTCGTTACGATTTCAGGGTGCAGATAAGAGTTACAGTTTTTGGCAGAGACATTTTACTGTTATGTTGACCAGTGTGCAGTTACTGTAACTTGACATATGATCAAGTGGGAGGTAAGACAGCATCAGTATTTGTGCTGCTCTGAGCACAAGTTGCTGCATCTTTGTGTGATCGAGTTGTTACAGTTTGTAAATCCCATTTCATTTCAGCAACAAATTGCTCGTCCTTCTCAAGAAGAAAAGGTAGAAGAAAAGGTAGAAGAGGAAAAAGCAGAAAAAGCAGAGAAAAAAGAGGAGGAAAAGAAAGATGAGGAGGAAAAGGATGAGAAGGAGGAATCTAAGTAAGTATGTGTACTGAAAATGCATTAATTCGCCCTGAATTGCAGTTTTTTGCAAAGATCAGAACAGGATTCCCATTAGCCTGACAGTGAAATCTGGACTGAAAATAGTTCCTATTTAGGTTAGGTTTTGTGCATTAAATTATTTTTTTGGACATATGAATTTCTGTCTTGCTGAACTAATCAGACTGGTAGAAAAAAACATGGGATTATTTTTTTGCACATGTAATAATTTTCATGTCTTGTTGGTTTGGGTTTCCTAAGTTCTATCACAGTGTTCGTATTTTCTTTGAAGTTGATAATGTCATGTATCTGTTACTCTCCAACAACTCTAAATTGTGGGCAGTAAGTGAATTTTATTTGACTAAAGATTTCTTTTGGGTTTGTGGAGTTTTGTTTGTGGCTTGGTGGGTTTTGGCTTTTGGTTTTGTTTTGTTGTGGTGGGTGTTTTTTACATTCATATTGAGGAATATCTGCCCATAATGGCTATCTGAATAATATTTTAACTACTCCCAGAGAGAATACCAAAGAAAAGGACAAAACTGAAGTTGCACCAGAGGAAACAGAGGAAAGGGAGCAGGCCACTCCTAGGGGCCGAAAAACTGCCAATAGTCAAGGTCGTCGTAAGGGCAGAATCACCAGATCGATGACAAATGAAGCTGCACAAGCAAATGCTGCTGCAGCTGCAGCCACTGAAGAACCACCGCCACCACTTCCACCCCCACCAGAACCTTGTGAGTAGCATTTATAGGACACTCAGGGACCCATCAGGTCGTCAGGCTCTTCATTAACATAAAGCCCTTTTTTTTTTTTTTTTTTTTTTTTTTATTTAGCATTACGTCTTTATTCTTAGACCTGCTTATAATTTTGTAACTGTGTGGTACTGTTAAACTTCGTAAGTGTAACTTCATGAATAGTATATGTGTAATCAGATGACTCTGTTAGAACCATGTGGAGGAAAAAAAAGGCAGTTCAGCCTTTCTGTGATAACTATGTTTTCCCTCTTTGCAGGGGTTAATGATGGATCTGTAGAGATCCAAATGCCTTTGACACAGATTGACTTACAGGCTGTAGCTCACAGAGGATATTGTTAAATAAGTAGGCCTGATATTTGAGTACTTTAGGGAGTTTCATAATCTGAAATAGATCCTAGCAAGTTGTTTTTGTTGTTGTTTCTGCATTAGATGGCAAGAGACTGCTTTAAAATAAAATGTTACTTTCTTGGCACATATGGTTAAAAAAACTATGCTATCTCTGACTGTGTTTCTGAACAGGCTGACATAATTTGTAGTGGTACAGAAGTGCTAGCGAACGGAATACCTTATGGCTAGTAAATAATTACCCAGGATTGCAGGGCAGGTTTTTTTTTTTTTTTTGCAGTGCTCTGCTGTGGCAAAATTTGTTGCTCCTAGCTCTTCAACTGGGTAGTTACAGGGAGCAGCTATTCTAGAATCTGTAACAACTTTATTGTTGCTCAGATATTCTGCATATCCTAAAGAAAAGAGTAAGAGGACAAATTAGATCCTGTTTAACTGTAAACATCAGAGATTGTGATAAACATTCTTGCTCAGTTGGTATGGTGGCGTTTTGTCAGCAGCTAGACTAAGGCAATAGTGGTTTTTGCTTTTGTTTCTTTTTTTTAACAATTTTTGCAGGGTTTTCTGGAAAATCCAAAACAGCTTTTCAATGGATCAGATACTTTGTAGTGTCCTGCTTTTATTGTTTGTTAATGGAAGTTGTTGAAGGGTCCATGTGTATGCTGTGCATAACAGCAGATTTTATGAAAAGGAAATGGAGGCTGTTGCAGATTAATGCCACTCAGAAATGTGAACAGAATTATATCAAATGCAGAGAAGTGAATGAAAAGTATTTTGCTTTGAATCATACTTAGTTTCCTCCTTGTTTTTACTTACTGTTTGTTTTGGTTTTTTTTATTTTTCTCTGTCTAGTAGGAGACTCAGTGAATACAAGAATAGTAGATTTCTTGACACCCACTAACCAATAAATAACCATTTCTGTCCTTTCCACAGCAGTCAGTGAAGTAAGATGGAACTAACTTATAGCATGTTGAATTACTGCTGTTAGTAGTTGATGGTAATTATTGACAGTTTAAATAAAATTTTAGTGATTAATATGTCCAAATTACTTACAAGTCTTCCTTGACAGATAATTAATCGTGGTTTTGTAGGCAGAATAGTTTTGAACAGTTTGCTCTGCTGAGGTTGTGGTGGTTCTTACTATATCTCTAACTTGGTTTAATGGAGATTGACTACTTCCCGCTGACAAGAGCAGCTTTCCCAAGTGACTTGAACAAACCTTAATGTAAATAGATTTGTTGACTATGGGATGCATGTTTGGTGCGATAATAGTGAATCCTGGTCTTTTCTCTTATCAGTGTCTTTGTTTCTCTTTCAGCTTCTGCAGAGCCTGTGGAGACATCCCGCTGGACAGAAGAAGAAATGGAAGTTGCTAAGAAAGGTAAAGCTTGTAAAGCTTTTGATTTACTTCTGAATACTTGTATTTACAAAGTCACAATAATTTACTGAATTACTGAATACAAGTGATGTGATTTTTTGCAACACTACACTGAATGAATAATTTTAAATTTTCTGTTGGTTTTGTCTAAAAAAAAAAAAAAGGGCAAACATCTCTAACAGACAAAATCAGTTTTTTGAGACTCGTGTTGATTTTTTTCAAATGGGCTACTTAGAACTGTTTGATGTTCTACTTGGTCCATGGAAGACTGTGAAACAGATGTGAAGGTGTGTATGTCATGTAAATTTTCAAAGTAATGTGTTTACAAGTTACAGAAATTCCCTTTGTATAAGACATTCTTTTCATTGAAAATCTAATGTAGTTTATAACTTGCCTATTCATTTGGCAGATACTGTTGCCTGTAGATTTTATGCATAAAATCAGTATTTTGGCAGAGGTGTTACATATTAGCAACAGCAAAGAGTTAAGTTTGAAGGCTTCATAAGCAGGCGTTCAGGTTGACACAACTGTTTTTTACCCCGTAAGTAGTTATCAAATACATTGTCATAGTGAGAGTTCTCTTAAGGACAGCAATACTTCTGTATCTTACCTTCCATAGGCATTGTTGTTCCATTTATTTGGGTTTGGATAGCTGAATTATTTATCATAGTAAATATTGCTTCTTACATATTTGAACAGGCCTAGTGGAACATGGACGAAACTGGGCAGCAATTGCCAAAATGGTTGGGACGAAAAGTGAAGCTCAGTGTAAGAACTTCTACTTCAACTATAAAAGGAGACATAATCTGGACAGCCTCCTCCAGCAGCACAAACAGAAGGTAAGTGCAGCGGCGTTGAGTATTTTGCAGGGGAAAACTTGGCATCCTTCTGAAGTCATTCAGCACGCTTCACTAAGACTGTTTTGGAATCACCACTTGTTTGCTTTTCTAGTCGTTTTTGCGTTGTGACTTAAATGTCCTAGAAAAGGCAGCTGATGCTCACTGACCTGTGATACTAGTCACTTCTTGCTTTAAAATGCAATAGAAAACTTTCTGTCAAATAGAACACTCAAGCCTGAAGATTCTCTAGTGCTCTGAAAACCATGCTCCTCATCAGTACACCAGCAGCTATACAAGTTCAGGTCATCACTGTAGAACAGTTACCTTGAAACCCAATAAGCACTAACCTTACAAAATGGAGCAAGAGAATTGGTAGAAGACCAGGAACTGAAAGTTTTGAGGCATCTAAAGTAGAATCCTGAATGTTCGAATCCTCTAAACTGCATTGTTGTCCTAGTCTTCTCTCTTGAAGAGCATCAGTGTCTGTGCTTGCTGCAGTAGTTCTGTTGTCCCCCAAACATGTCTTGAGACAGTGGTTTGTTCCCAAACTTATTTTTGATCAGGAGCAGCAGAAGCTGGCCTGAAGTTGAAAGAGATGAATCTTTGCTAAATAGAGATTCTCTGTCTTTCATTTCAACCTCAGATTGATAAATGAGAATGCATGTAAAAGGAAATAATACTTGCAAATTTTCACTACAATATAAATGCCGTGTCTTTATCAGTCTTCACGAAGGCCCCGTGAGGAGCGAGATGTATCGCAGTGTGAGAGTGTAGCTTCGACTGTGTCAGCTCAGGAGGATGAAGATATTGAAGCATCTAATGAAGAGGAGAATCCAGAAGACAGTGAAGGTAACTTTTCTGGGAATGAAACTTGTGTGTGCACAGAAAGGGACCTATGTTTTGTGCTAGTTACATGCTTAGAAAGCTGTATTCCACTTCATAATGTAGCGCTCAAATACTATGTTTCAGTTGAATTTTAGCAATTGGAACTTGCTGAAGGGGAAAAAGCATTTTTGATATTGAGCAGCCTTAAGATGTTATTACTTAGTATTTTCAGATGCTTTGACTCTGCTATCATCTAGAGGGTAAACAGACAGCACCTGATCAAAAAATGTGTGCATGTTGAAACAAGCTGAATCAAAGATATGTAACCTTTGCTAGTTGATAGTCTGAGTAAAGCTTTGGACAGGCAAATTTAAGTGGTGGGGTTTTTTGTTGTTTTTTTTGGTGTGGTGTTTTTTTTTTTTTTAAATTTGTTCATTGCAACTGCTAATAATTATAGGCACTCAACATCAGTCAGTCTTGGCTAGCCTTTTGTGGAGCTATAAGCAATAGAGTTTGTAAACGATGAATGCGAGAGTGTGGCTAAATGTTGGGGATTTTGGTTTTCAGTTGTTGGTATTTTTTGAGCTGCAGTGCATGTATATAATTCAGAAAATTGTCCATTTCTATAGTAAGTCAAAAATAATTACTTGTTTTACAGATGGGATGGATCCTTATTGCATCCATTTGTTTAACAAACATTGTTAATATTGATGTGGTTCTAAGGAATGAATATTCTTATCAGAAGATAAGACTTGAATATAACATCTATGTTCTAGATGTTGCCATAGTTTTTCATAAATGTTTTTATTTATCTAAAAGCTATTTATAATATAATGGAGTTCATGAAGTAGGCTAATAGGAGGAGGAAGGTTCTTTACTGCAAAAATGAATACCCTTCTATAATTGGTATTTGGTTGTCGATGTGGTTTAGACCTTTCGCAGAGAAAAGACATTTTCCAGAAAACAGTGATGATTCACAGAGGAGCTAAACTAGAACTATTAACTTATAGCAAGAATTGCAAGTCAACATGTCTCTAAAATGTGACTGATTTTCATGTAAAATCAGTGTTTTGCCACTTCTGCTACTGATGCCTCTAAACCATGTTGATTTAAATAATTAAAGCTGTGCCTTAGGTACTGTGAATGTTGACTCTAATCTTGTAATAAAGCTGCATCATATATGGAAGTACGAAGTCTCTGACATATGCGCAAGAGTTTACTTGGCTGGCTCTCTGTAAGATCAGAGCTAGCTAAGTAGTCTTATTTCTGTAGTTCTTGTCTCCCTCCTTAACCTGTATCTGCTGATTTTTGGTTACTCTCTCTTTGTGAGTCAATTCTTCAGGGCAATTGTCTTTTTGTGTTTTGGGACAGCAGACATATATTTGATTATTCTAAAGAAACAGCTTGTCAAAGCCTAGTTAGATTTCATTAACGTTGAACTTTTTTTTCCCCAGGTGCTGAAAATAGTTCTGATACAGAAAGTGCTCCGTCTCCAACTCCAGCAGAACCTGCTAAACCAAGTGAAGAGACTCCATCTGAGAGTACTACTTCGAAAGTAACCACTGAGGCCGCAGCAGAACAAGAATCTACCATTAAACCAACAACCAGCACATCTCCCTCCTTAACAGCCCAAAGTGTATCAACAGCTGAAAGTCAGAACCCTGAGCCACAGGTTAAGGAAGAAATAAATAATGAGGTAGAAGAGCCTATGGAGGTTGACAGTAGAAACCATCCAGTTGAAGCTAAGCCTGTGATTACTCTTCCAGTGCATACCAAAGTAGAACCTGTAGAGACCGAAATGAGGCTACCAGAGAATATTCAAGTGAAAATAGAGAGTGATACCAAAGAGAGAGAGCTGGAGAAACCCAAGGAAAAGTCAGAACCAGAGGAAATGGACTATAGTCTATCACAGCAAGTTAATACAGCAAGACAAGAATCCCATTCAGATAATGATTCGAGTGCCACCTGTAGTGCTGATGAGGAAGTTGATGGAGAACCTGACAGACAAGGGTGAGTTTAATTGTTTAGTGTTCAAATATTGCCATCTTAAAGAAGTTGTTTAAAAAGAGGTTTTACTTAACAGTGATCCAAAAACTGTCATCAGTAGTGACATTTTTGTTCTGAGTTTCTACTAGAGGAAGAGTCTGGAAGTGCAACAGAGTGAAACGTTGATTTAAAATTATGATGAAAAGCCAAAAGAAGGGTCTTCTAAGGAAGGGTATGGCAAAATTCCATGCTAGGTAGCAAACTAGCACAACTACCTGGAAAGCTAGAGAATGAGGGAAATCAAGCCATTTGGGATCTGTTCAGAGAATGGGAATTGTGTTAAATGATTATCTGGAAAGGACAGCCACTTACTGAAACAATGAAAATTTGCCAAAGCAAGAAAAGAGATTCAAGGTGCTCCTGGCATGAGTTTCCATGATAAGTAGCTCTGTGGTACTTCTGGTGGCAGGGGGAAGATCTTACTGCTGCAAGATTTTTCTGATACACAGCTATTTAAAAATCAGTGACCAACTGAAAAAAATCAGTAAGTAATGTGAGGAATTTTGTAAGTGCACCCACCCATCCACTAAGAAACTCAACAGTGATTGTGTAACTGGATCTCTACTGAAGTTCTTTGCTTTGGTTTGGTTTTGTTAGTTTGTTGCTTTTACACAATACTTATGAACAAATCTACACATTCAGAAGTAGATTTGGAATATTTTTTCGTAGTGTAATTGGTTAGTGTGGGATAGTACATAGGCTCTCCTTTCCCTTTAGTGAAAAAGTGTTTAAATGTAGAGCCAAAAATTTGGAGATGGAGTTGTTTTATTTGATTCTTGCTCTCACAAACTCACTTTAGTAAAATGTATCCAAAGCTCTGTGAATTTCACAGGGCAAGCAGCCTGAATGTATCTTTTAGTAGGAGATGAAACTTGCTTTAAAAAAAAAAAGAAATCTAGGGGCTTAAAATATTGATATTTTGGTTACCTTTTAACCTTTCATGTTTATTTACTTGTATAACCTCTAGAGTCCTGTACCAAATTTCTGTCATTGAACCACATTATATCAATCGGTAGAATTGAATATCTTGAAGGCTATTAATAATAGAGTAGTGGAAATATTTCTCACTCTTACTAGTTGGAGTCTGTAAATTAACGGGCAAGTGTCCTGAGAGCTGGATGACCTCTTTCTCCAAAGTGTACAATGTCTTCATGCAAACTTCCTAGTTCCTGGGCACTTGGCCCTAAACACTGTGGATAATCCACATGAGTATATAGGGCTTTAAATGGACAAAGCTGTGTGTCTTTGGAACCATTTATCTTTTGGGGGATGGCTGACACCACTGTTGATATTTGAAGTCTTTTTAGTGTTCTGTTGGTGCAATTCCTGTGTAACCATAGCATAGCATCTGAGCCAATGCCCCCTCCCTCTCAGTGGTCTTAATATACACGCAGTACCAAGGATAGATGTTAAATGTCAAAAGTATCCAGTATCATTGTTCTGCATGTGGTCTTTGGAAGAGTGTAGTTGATGGTATTTCTGCACTCTTGCCTCTTCAGACATCATCTTTCCACTTCACGAATATATTAGCCCTCCATGTGAAAGCAGTCTATTGTATACTAGTGTTTGTTTATTTCCTGTGGACTAAGTATGTCTAGTGCTTCCTATCTATTTTTTTTATTGAAAGCCTTCTTTATAAAGAAGGTTGCATTCTTGCAGTACTGTGTGTGTAGAAACTGCATACACAAATTTCTGGTATTGGGGATTCTGAACACTTATTTTGGTATTTCTAGTTGTTATAAAAATACAGCAGCATCTGTTGCCTATCCTACCAGATGTGCTGTGGGACAAAACCCAACATGATTCTGACTTTTCAGCTATTCGTCCAGTGTGTTAAATGTGTTGTTTTTTTGAAGCAGAGAGGTGTACTTTTACCTGTAAATTTCTTAAGATGTTTAATCTTGGTCTTTTTGGTGATATTTTTCCCTTCCTTCTCTCTCCTTTTCCAGTATCTTCAGCAGGGAGTCAAAGCCCTCACTGTTAAATCCCACTGGGTCAATACTGGTATCATCCACGATAAAGCAAGGGCAGATGGACCTGCAACAGCTTCACCACCGAGCTGCTGTCATACCACCTATGGTATGGGGTGTTTTAAGTGATATTTGAAGAGGAGTATTTGCTGTCTCTAAAAATAGTTGCAACACTAAAGTGGCAAAAAAATGCGAAACAAATGAAGATATATATCATTTGCTTTGTTGTCGTACTTTTGCGGGGGAAAATAGGTTAAGTAGAAACAAATACAGAAGTAATAGCTTAAAAACAGGTGTGGACCATTTGAAACACTCATGAATAGACTACAGCTGCTGCAGTGGAGGCATTGGGCAAGACAGTTACTTTAGTAAGTATCTCCATCAATGTATCTGATGTTAATACCTTCCTGTCCTTGTAGGTTTCCTGCAGTCCCTGTACTGTTCCTGTTGGAACACCAGTGAGTGGTTATGCGCTGTATCAACGGCACATTAAAGCAATGCATGAGTCAGCGCTGCTGGAGGAGCAACGCCAGAGGCAAGAGCAGCTGGATATGGAGTATCGAAGTGCTGTAAGCCCTTGTGGCACTTCCAAGAGCCCTAATGTTGAGTGGGAAGGTAGGCATTTTCACATCTGTCATGGAAATAACTCTGTGGTTTATGTCCATGTGCTAACACTGCTTCCTCATTTAAGAATGAAAGTTTAGTGTACCAATAATTAACTCTTGCTTTCTGATGACACTTCATTGAAGGAACCTGTCTACTTTAGAGATCCTACTGCAGTTACAGTGTTGGAGAACTACCTTGTAGCCCCTTTAGATAAGGCAGAAAAACTGCTCCATTTGAGTGAAATCCAAAAATGAGTTGCTCCTACAGAGAGAGATTCAGAAAGATTAGGTGTGCAGGTGAGAGGACCCAGATAACTATGCGTTCTGGGGGAGCCCCTTTCAGAAGCTTAAAGTGAAGATGGGAGAGAATTGCTAAAGGAGTATGAGCACAATTAAAAGGAATGTTTTACTGCACTGGAGTAGATATGTGGACATGGAGCCCTGGAGTAGGGCACAAAAGTTTGGTAGAACTGTGATGCTGTAGCTTGTCTGTCCGCAGAAGGGCTGTATGAAAGGTTCTTTCTCTTGGGAAATGATGGTTGGTTGCTTTTGTATATATAGAGGATACCTGGAGGCAAGATTTGAACTGAACTATGCGATCTGGACCTGTGTTTCCTGAATGTGACTCTTAGCGTGACCTTCAGTACAGAACAAAGCTAAAACTGCTCACAGAACATGTCAGGGTAACTAAATAAGGACATATCTGTACCATTGCTGGTTACAGGAAAGTGATTTGGATGAACAGTGCATATGTTACATTATCCAAATAGTTGCATAACGGCCAAAGGATGCATTTATTAGCTTTCATTAGGCATTCATATTATGCTTTCTCTCTGTGTATATTTGCCATATTTTCATTCTTTGAACTGAAATTATTTTGATTCTATCAACAGCTTGCAAATTACAAACAGCTTAGCACAAGATTCCCTTTTTTTTGTGCAAGGAAAGCATATCCTATGGGAGACCCAGTTCTGTACTAAGTGTGTAACTTTTACCTCAACTTTCTTTACTAGAAAAGGAATAGGTCCACAAACTGTGCATTGTAACAGGAGAATAAACAGTGAAATTAATGTACTGAATGTTACAATGTTAGAGTTATCATCACAGTTGCATAATTCTACATTTTTAGACTTAATATTTTCATGCATTGTTTCTGTTGTCTCCACAGTATTAACAACATAAACTGTAGTGTTCCTTGAAACTTGAGTATTCTGTATTTAATATGTGTTACAATTTTAGATGATGTTATAAAAATGCTTCACCTTAGTTACTTTTACCTAGGTAAAATGAAAGAAACGTAACCATTTTATTTGCCGTTTTAAGATAGTGAGAAAGGAGGTTGTAGATTTCTGGAGAGGAGGATAAGATTGTGGTTTTTGGAAGTTACTTCTTTAGGTGGAAAGGCTGGGGTTGCTTAAAAGTACCATTTAACTGAGATACTACCTGAATAACTCTTGGCATTGGCAGTATAGTATTATGAAGTGTGGGAAAGTTCTTGGGTGAAGTGTCTGCCAGAAAAAATCAAGGTGGTTATTGAGGCAAACAGAGAGGGAAGGATAATGTGATTAATGTAAATGGGTTCTACAAGCCTGGACGTCTTAATCTGAAAACTAGAAGGGGCTGAGATGTCATCAGATCATTACAACAGCAACTTCCTGAGATATACTGTGCCTTTGAAGTTTTCCACCAACTGCTGTACGCTGCAGAGAGCCCACAGACTCTTTAAAAACCTTGTATTGCAACATCGGAACACTGCCTGTGTTATGGGGCACCTTGTCAAACTAAAGGACCTGTTACTGAATTGCCTTAGGACAACCTACGCAATACTTTACCATGCAATAAAATAGTAAAGATCCTTTCGAAAACTATTATGGGATGATTAGTGCCATCTTTCTTTGATTATGAAGGTTAAAGCTACAACTTTAGAGCTGCAGTAGACTTGTTCTGGCTTGTAATTTTGAATACTTAAATTGTCCATTGCCAAAGAAAAGGCATTTATGAGGTTCTGGTACTGGATTTTTATTTTCCTAAATTTGGTAAAAATGTATTTTCCCTTTAAACACCATCGGATGGGCAATATTGGTATTTGAAATCTGATTTGTAACTTCTCTGGGCAAGCAAACAAACAAGGGAGGCTTTTTGTTTGGTGGGACTGGCATGTAAGTCTGGCTGATGCACAGGATTTGGAAAGGAGTCATCTTTAAATGAAATCTTTTTCAATAGCAGAGTTTTCACTTAAAGGACCTAAAGGAACCAGATACTGTTTTTCACATATAGAAAGTATGAGAAAGTTTTTTCAAAGCTTTGGATATACAAGTGTAGACATAGGAACATATTAAGCTGTACCTTACTGCTACTTTTTAACTTAAACATTTGTACCTGATGAATACATCTGACATTGGAGTAGACCTTTTGTTAAAATTGTGCTGTAAACTGGACCTTTGACTCTAATTTCTAATCCAGATTCTTTTCTTTCTGACAACTTTAACCTTTGCAGGAAAACCGGTGGCCTATATGCCCTATGCTGAGGTCAAGCGAGCAATAGAACAGGAAGCACAAGTGCAAAATACAGCAACAAGGTCAGCATCACCATACAGGCTGTCTCCAAGAGAAGTCAATAAAGCCTCTCCTCAGCCTGATATGAATGCAGCTCGCTATAGTGTCCCGCCAGGTAAATACTCTGTTAGGTATCATAGCGACTGCAAGCTGGACTTCTGTGACTTGATGTAGTATCAAACTATTCTCTAAACACTTTGTGACTTAACAAAAGAATAAAATAGATTGTTTTCTGTCTGTACATGTAAGTAGGTGCTCGGTGTTTTTCCAACTCTAGTGAGGTTATATTTTTGTTCTTTTATGCAGCTGATGCAGCAGTACATTTATTTTATTAAGCAAATAAGATGATCTGAAAAGTGTTAGAACAGCATAGGGACAAAGTCATGAAGTTTTTCAACTTAATCAAGTACCATCGTATTCATGGGTGGCCTTTCTTATGAAGGGGGTAGCTGAGGAAAAGAGAAAGCTGCTGCTATCCTTGGCATTAGTTTCTGACTGTAATTGCTTAATATTATATTCTGAATGTTTTATAAAACAGTGAAACTGACAAATCTTAATTTTGAAACTTGGGACTATTACTTTTCCCTGCAGAGTATGCCGTTCTGAGAAAAGACAAAATGAGGGAAGCTTAGATTATACTTGACTCAGTTGCATTTCATTTAAAGAATAAGGACTTTCTTTAAAAACAGGAAAACAACAAAAAACTGGAATGTACCCTGGGCTGTTATTTTTAGAGGTTTAGTTTTCAGAGTCTGCAATTCTACAGTGCAGCTTTTGCCATTTCTTTTTGAACTGTGATGCAAGGTTAGATATTCTCCATTCAATTTCTATGTATAACATACACTTGGACGTAGTGAATTTCAGAGTTGTGACTACAGCTAGATAGCTTTTGAGTATTGTGAGGCAGTGCCCATCAGAAATTGTTAGATGTACTGTGCTATTTCAGTTCTTCTAGTCATTAGAGAGACAAGTAGAGCTGAAACAGACTGTAATATTTAATGACCAATTTTTCCCCCAAGTTCTTCAGCCAGCACCTCACCAAGTAATAACCAATATACCTGAAGGAGTCCGCCTTCCAACAACCAGACCCACCAGACCACCACCACCACTCATTCCATCCTCCAAAACAAGTGTGCCATCAGAAAAACCTTCCTTCATCATGGGAGGCTCAATCTCACAAGTAAGAGAATTACTATTTGACAATCTGTGCTTAACATCAATTTTTTGCCCTTTCACCAACCTTCGACATCTTGTACTTGGTTATGTGTTCACAGCATTAATGCTTAGGACCTATACATGTCACCTTTAAAAGTCCAGGACTTACAGGTGCCTTACAAAATGGAATATGTTGCACTTATTTACATTTAGTAGCATGGTTGAGGATGTCCAGTTTAGGTGAACTGCTTCTCCAAGTTAACAGTGACGCTACACTCCTGATGTTCTGCATCTTGGTACTTCACAGTGGTATAATGCAGCATTGTAAGATAGCATCATAGTAGTAGTACTGGCATTCTCCTTTATACATAGATGTGAATCTTCATTCCAGAGAGAAGAATTAACATATGTTGTATCTGTTGTTTCAGGGAACACCTGGCACTTACTTAACATCCCATAGTCAAGCTTCTTACACCCAAGAAACTGCAAAGCCATCAGTGGGTTCTATATCTCTTGGGCTGCCAAGGCAGCAGGAGTCAGCCAAATCTGGTAAGAAAAGAACAGCTGATGTGTTTTATATAGACTATTTAATGACTCATAATTATAAGGAAAAAAAAAACCACAACCAAACTTTCTCTTTTTCTTCTTCTGAATAGCTTCTCTGCCCTATATCAAACAAGAAGAGTTCTCTCCTAGAAGCCAGAATTCTCAGCCTGAGGGACTCCTGGTCAGGGCACAACATGAAAGTGTGGTTCGAGGTAAAGAAAGTCATACAGGTTAAGAAACTTTGTCAGAGCCTGAGAAAACTGAGAGAATAACTTCTAGAGCTCAAACTGCTGAAGTGTTATTTTTAATTATTATATGATTAATCTGCTCCCTGTTTTCAGAGGCATGTGTATTTCTAGCTAGCTCCTCCTGTCTGCAAGTCTCATTTAAGAATATTTGTTTCAAGGCATGCCAATTTCAAAATTAAGTTGTTCATTAGAGCATATGCAGAGCAATACATGTGAAATAATCCAAATACATCAAAAGAAAAGAAACTAAATACCATGGATTAATGCTGTAAAAGACTTTTAGTCTGTAAAAGACTATGTTAAAAGAGGAAATAGTCTAACTGCCTCAGATGCATGCTGTTAAACTGAAATTTTCTCTGTATTTTAGTGTAAACTAACAGTTCTCACTAGAGTTTTTGATTTAAAAGAGAGTAGCTACTTTTCTTATGTATCAGGATGTCTTATTATTTCAAATCAGGTACCACAACGATACAGGAGGGAAGTATAACACGGGGAACTCCAACCAATAAAGTTTCTGTTGAGACCATTCCTTCTTTGAGAGGCTCCATAACTCAGGTATTGTTCCCCTTACTAAGAAGACTGTAGCAAAACAGAAAATTTAAACTATCACCATGAATGTATTTGCATGTCTGAAAATAAATTAATGTCACAGAGTAGGAACTTCCTTGAAAAAATAAATTTTAATGCAATCAGGTGCTCAAATCCCACTATTGCTGAAGTCAGCATTACCACGATTTCATCTTCATGTATGAGTCTTTAAACTCTTTAAGTAACACCACCAGAGCCTTTAGTATACCTAACTGAAGGATTATTAGCAACTTCCATGAAAATAGCAGTACACCTGAGTTCAAATATTAAAATCAACTGCAGCCAGTCTTGTGCAGGTGCTATTTAAAGCCAAAAAGGTAAATTAAGCCCTTTGACTCATCATTTTTCAAATGCTACTGTTTTGTTTGACTTGGAATCTCTAGTTATGGAGAGCAATAGTAACACTTCTCCTCTGAGAAGGGTAGATTTCATTACCTTGGATAGAAATGAAACCTGATAGCACCATTAAGTATGTAGTATATGTTGTTTTCCCTCAAAATGGTATATAGGGTGAATGTTCTAGGTCATGAAATACTTTTGTAATATTTTACTGCCTGTTCTTCTTTCTATATTTTTTTAAGAAGGTAGCAAATTACCTACAAATAATCTTACTAATATTTAGGTTAAATGTCTAAGAATAGAGGCAGAAGTTTAAGCCATCCTGCTTGATAAAGTAATTGATATTCTAGATCTAAAAATGTTGTGGGTTTT